AATTCCCTTAGAATGACAATCTCTAGGTCCGTCCATGTTGCTGGAAATGGCATTGTTTTATTTTTTTGTGTGGCTGAGTAGTATTCCATTGTATAAATATACCACAGCTTCTTTATCCAGTCATCTGTTGATGGACATTTAGTCTGTTTCCATGTCTTGGCTATTGTATATAGTGCTGCTATGAACATTGGGGTGCATGTAATTTTTCAAATTTTTCAAATTCGAGTACTCCCTGGATATATACTCAGAAGTGGGACTGCTGGATCCTATGGTAAGTCTATTTTTAGTTTTTTGAGGAATCTCCATACTGTTTTCCATAGTGGCTGCACCAAACTGCATTCCCACCAGCAGTGTGGGAAGGGTTCCCTTTTTATCCACAGCCTCTCCAGCATTTATCGTTTGTGGACCTTTGAGTGATGCCTATTCTGACTGGTGTGAGGTGATACCTCATTCTAGTTTTGATTTGCCTTTCTCTGATAATTAGTGATACTGAGCATTTTTTCATGTGCCTATTGGTGTTTGGCCAACATTTTCTCTGGTGCCTTAGAACACCTTTCTGGAAGGTGAAAGAAAAACCAGCCTTTCAGATGAGTGTTAGGCTATTTCTCCTCTGCACCCCCACTTTTTTTTTTTTTGACAAGAGAAGTGTTGAGATGTCCTAACCTGATACTGGAACCGGGTACCCTCATCCAGCCTCCTGGGAGCAAGAGGCAGATTTCTTCAGCTGTCTTCAGCTACAAGGTGGGCAGGATCTGGCCTTGTATACAGCGCTAGGAATTTACAGGTTAAGTTCTGGGATTTGAGAAAGTGGTAAAATTCTGTCTCCTCTGCTGCAGTACCCCAGAACGGGCTCTTGATTCATTTGGCAAATTTCTGCTTATGCTTAAAGCCTGCCCAAGATATGCCTCTGCCAGGGAGGAGTCAGATACTCCTCCGCAACCATTTTGGACATGCATTTTTAGAAATTAATGAAAGTAGTAGCAATTTGCCTGAAAAATTTTACATTAGCTCCACTTCTTGGCCTCTGCCTTAGAAAAACACACGTGTACCGAATGTTCATTGCATCATTGTTTATAATAGTGAGAAACGGGAGACTGTGTGGTACCCATCCGTACAGCAGCCAGGATGAATCACTGAAAAAGGATGCGTGGGAAACAGGTCACAGAATATTGTGTACACTTCAATGCGGCTGTACCGTGTACCACAGACCCGCACGAAACAGGGCTAAACACTTCCTATGAGGACACGTGGGTGTAAGTGCGCAGAAAAGGGAGGACTAAGAAACAGATTTGGTGGTTCTTTCCAGGGGGCTGGAGGTTTCTGGCTTTCACCATAACACCTGTTTTTGACAAGGCAATGTTTTTGTTTGTTTCTTTTTTAGGGGGTGGAGGGAAGACATTTTATTTACCAGTTACCACAAAGTTCACCCACCTAAGGTATATACATAAATGGCTTTTAGTGTATTTATAGAGCGTGTAACCATCATCACAGTTTCATTTTAGACCATTCTCATCACCCATCCCCCAAAACCCTTGTGCTGGTTAACACCCCCTCCTCCAGCTTCCCACCCTCCACTCCCGCTCCCCCGGGCAACCACTGTTTTCTGCTTCTGTGACTTTGACTATTGTGGACCTTTGCATAAACGGAATCACATAATACGTGGCCTTTTGTGACTGGCTTCTCTTTGAGAAGACTAACAGCAATATTTTCAGGGCTCATGCGTGTGATGGGTAGCATGCGTTTCATTCCTGTCGATTGCTAAGTAACATCCCCTTGCATGGATGGGCCACGTTTTGTTTACGCGTTCATCTCTTGATGGACACGTGGATTGTTTCCGCTTTGGGGCTGCTGTGAATACTGCCGCTGTGAAGGTGCATGCACAAGTTTTTGTGTTCACATTTCCCTTGGTTATATACCTAGGGTAGGGATCTGGGTTGGACAGTTGTTTTATGTTTAACTTTTGGAGGGGCTTCGACTGTTTTCCAGAGTGGCCACACCATTTTCATTCCTGCGGGCAGTGTCATGCAAGTGTGTCTTGATGGGTCAGGGGATACAGATGTTCCCAGTCCTGGACTCCTGACCCGACCCCCACCGCCATCTCAGCTCTTCCTGCCTTCCTCGGCACATCCCTGCCATCTCGGCGTCTTCTCTCACTTTCACATCCACGTCCAGTCTGTCGGTCCGTCCAGTACTCTACCTTCAGAACTTACCCCAATCTGACCCCTTCTCTCTGCTCCACTGCCACCACCCTGGACCAAGCCCCCAGCAGCTCTCACCTGTATCCTTGCAACAGCCTCCTCTCAGGAACTGCCCCTGAACTCCTACATCTGTCTGTTCTCCACAGCCAGGGGGTGCCCTCCTTGGCTCAGGACCCCTAATTATTTCCCTCTCATGGGGACTAAAGGCTGAGTCCTCACAATGGCCTCAAGGCCCCACGCAGAGGGCACCTGCATCCCCCGAAACCCCTCTGCCCTCACTACCGCACTGCTGCACTCACTGAACTCCTCAGTGTTCTTCTAACTCACCACAGGGCCTTTGCATCTGCTTCCCTCAGATACTTACAGCCCACTCCCTCACCTCCAAGTCCCTTGCTCTAACGTCACCTCCTCAGTGAGGCCTTCAGCGACAGTGCAAGCCCTCTGCCCTTTTTAACAGACTCTGGCCTTGTGTGTGTCTGTGTCCCTGTGTCAGATTATCAGCCACAAGGGCAGGGATGCTTGCCTGTCTGTTCACCAGGACCGGTTTCTGGTGCGCTGAGAGAAGACCTCCAGCTCCCAGCTCGGTTGCCTCCCTGCCGCTGCCACTGGGAACGCTGTGGTGTGTGGCCTTCCACGTGCTTTCTCTGCCTACAAATGACATGTATTTTTTTATTTGTATTTTTTAAAGTGGCTGTTGCACCACACTGCCATTTATTTGCAGTCTTCCCATGAGGTCCAAGCATCACAAGGCCGGAGACCTGGTGCTCACCCCGTGCCCTGCACGGGGCCTGGCTTAAAGTAGGCACAAATCATGTTGTTTTGTTTGAACACACTTCTGTAGATGTGAACTCACTCCCTCAAAAGGAAGACGCCGTCTAGCTGGCTCCACGGGACTGGAGCGCCCTCTGGCCCGGAGCCCCGCCGCCTGGGGAGCTGCTGTGTGCATCTAGGCAGGACGCTAGGGCTTGGCTCTGGGCTTCTGAGCTGCCTCAGAGGACTGTGACTTGATTTGGTGTAAATGCTGAGAGCTGGTAACCCGGGCAAGGCCACCCCTGCTGCTGCAGCTGGCAGCTGCTTTTGGTGAAGGAGTCCTTTGAACAGGAACTTTTCTGGGCCAGCCCGTATTGAAAAGAAAGCCTTTCAATATCTGGGCCAGGGAGCCGTTGCCTGGCCTCCGCACCCCCCCCCCGCCCCAGCCCAGCAGGGGCAGGGAAGTCAGGGTTGATAATGGGGCGCTGTCAGGCCTGTCTGTCTGCTGGGCAGTGTTACCAGGCGCCTCTGAAATCATGCCGGTTGGACCCACAGGGTTTTTGTTTGAGGCTGGAGTGAGCAGACTCGGAGGTCTCCTGCACTTTTGTTTGAGCAGGGGATGGCTGAGCGTCCGCGTGGGGGAGAGCGGGGGCCCTGGTGGGGAAAGGGTTTTCTGAAGTCAGCGCAGCATTGTTTGAGCCACTCCAAACAATGTATTGTTCGAAGCGCCTTGAAACAGCCCAGAAAAATGCTAAAAAGCAAAAATCATCCCCCATCGTGCCAACAAGGGGGAGCACAGGGTTCTTCCGACGTGTTTGTTTGCAGATGTTTTCTACGCATTTGGGCATGAAAGAACTTTCGGGGGTGATGGAAGCAGTCTGTCTTCACTGGGGGTGGTGATTAAAAGGCTGTATACATCTGTCAGAACATTTAGGAAGGGTGAAACGTACAGAATGTGAATCGCACCTTCTTAGAGGTGACAAAGAGAAACAAGCTGAAAAGCAGCCTTTGGGACCTTTCCGTGCGCGTCCACCCCTTCCTAACGGCTTCCCCATCGTTACTGTCCTGGTGCAAATGTTCTTGAGGGCTGGTCCGCGCTCCCTCTCAGGACTGACCTGTGCTTCATTGTCCGGCACATGTGCACAGAGGAAGTCTGTGGTTTTTCTCCCTTAAAACAACACTGTGAACCATCGGCTGTATATTCCTGAGTGATTTATTGCAGGGCCGAGGAGCCAGGACATCTAAGCCCTTGATATTGTCAAACCGTTTTTCAGAAACTTTAGGTCATTCTGTTCAGACCCCCGGCATATGTGGGAATGCCCGGGGGACATCGCTTTTAGTGTCAAAGCTTTTATGTTCTTAGGAGTCTCGGTTAGTGGATTGGCTTAGTGTTCAGATGCCAAGTGTTACTTCTCTCTAGTTAAAATGGGCCTGATTCAGGCAGAGATTTCTTAGCTACAACACCAAACGCATGGTCCTCTAAAAGGAAAAAAATCGATAAATTGGATCTCATCAAAATTCAGAAGTTGCACTTCAGGGTGCAGTAGTAAAGACGCCAATAAGAAATGACAGGACAGGCAGGGGACTGGGAGACAGTATTTACAAAACACATGCCCAATTCAGGACTTGGTCTCAGAACTGACCAAGAACTCCCACAACAGCTCAATAATCCGATGACAAACAGCCCCATCAAAAAGTGGGTGGTGAGGGGCGGGTGGAGCTCTGTGGCAGAGCACGTGCTTAGAGTGCATGAGGTCCTGGGTTCAATCCCCAGGACTGCCGTTAGTAAGTAAACCTAATTGCCTCCCCCTGCAAAACAGCAGAGCAAGTGGGTGAAAGATGGGGACGGACATTTTCCCAGAGAAGATCTGTGGACGGCCAGTAAGCACATGGGAAGATCCCAGGCTCAGTCGTCATTAGGGAAACACAGACCCCAACCACAGTGAGAGGCTCTTTCACCCTCGCCAGAATGGCAATAACAAGTAAGACGGAGAGTAAGTGTTTCTGAGGATGTGGAGGAACAGGAACCCGCAGGTGTTGCTGGTGGGAAAGTGAAGTGCTGCAGCCACATTGGAAGACAGTTTGACAGTAAAAGGTTAGCAGAGAACTGCCGCATGACCCAGCTCTCCTACTCCTGGGTGCCCCCCCAAGAGAAATGAAGACATCTGCCTAGAGAGAGACTTGCACGGCAATGTTTACTGCAGCATTTTTCGTAAATGCCCTAAAGTCCAACCTCAGTGTCCATCGATTGATGAATGGGTAGACCACATGTGGTATATCCCACAGTGGAATGTTATTCAGCCATAAAAAGGAATGCTACAACATCTTGGTGTGGCCATTTTGGAAAACAGTACAGAGATTCCTTAAAAAACTAAAAATAGACCTACCCTATGATCCAGCAATCCCACTCCTGGGCATATATCCAGTGGAAACTCTAATTTGAAAAGCTACGTGCACCCCAGTGTTCATAGCACTATTTACAACAGCGGAGCCATGGAAGCAACTTCAGTGTTCACCGACAGATGACTGGATGAAGATACGGTGCACCCCTCACGCCTGAGTGCCAGCTGGCACACATGCCCTCATTCTATCCCACGGTGCCCAGGGTCTTGACCTGGTCACTGCCTCCCTCAGGGCAATGGTTCCAAATCTTGGCTGTCCAGTTTCTGTCTTGGTGGAGGTAACTTTAAAAAAAATAAGGGTTCTGTCCTGGTTACTTATTGTAGCGCAACAAATGATCCCGCAACTTAGATGCTTAGGACAGTAACTTACTCTGCTGATAAGCCTGCAGTTCAGAGAGGGCTTGATGGAGACGCTGGTTTCCGCTGCACGTGGTGCCAGCCAGGGGGCTCGAGGACTGGGGGCTGGAGTCATCTGAAGGCTGGTATTTTCACATGTCGGGAGGGAGGCAGGCTGTCGGCCTTTCCGCGTGCTTGCTCGGGCTTCCTCACACCGTGGTGGCTGGGTTCCTAGAGGGAGTGGCCCAGTGCGCAAGGCAGGAGTCCATGGAGTTCGCATGGCCTGGCCTCAGATGTCACGTGGTGTCACTTCCACCATCATCTGCTGGCTGAGGTGGTCCCAGAGTTCCATCTGGGTTCAGTGGGAAGGGAACGAGTCCCGCCCCTGATGGGAAGAGTGTTGACATCACATGGTAAGAAGAGCGTGTGGGAGGGAGTCCATTGCGGGGGTTGTTTGGGAAACAGTCTATCCCCAGTTCCTGAGCAGGGCCCCAGGTGAGTCTGATGCACATCCAGGGCCAGACAGGGGCTTTTTGTCCAAGACCTGTGGCCTCTCGACCCTGAGCTGAGGGACATCCCCACAATCAATGCTGGGGAGACTGGCCTCGGTAACAGGGTGACCAGGGACCCTTGGGAGCCAGACCAGACTCAGAGGGCAGAAGGCACTGGAGGCACAGGAGGCCTGCTGTCCGTTCAGGGAGGGTGTTGTCACTGACCTGCTAGCTTTTTTTAAATTAATTTTTAAAGTGGCAGTTTCTTTTATTATTTATTTTGGGGGGAGGGAGGTAATTAGTCTTACTTATTTATTAATGCAGGTGCTGAAGATTGAACCCAGGACCTCGTGCATGCTAAGCACACGCTCTACCAGGGACCTAAACCCTCCCCCCTTGACCTGCTCTTAATGGAGCCTTTTCTCCTTCTGACCCTGTGTGTGTCTGTTTAGCATTTCCTTGTTTATGGCCCGTGTCTCCAGGCTGCTGGACAGGTGGTCACGGCATCTGGGGGTGAGAAGGAGAGTGCTCTTCCCCAGGGAGCTCACTGCCATCTGGTGACTTCCCCTCGCAGCTCTTCTTGAGGCTCAAACCTGAGGAATCCTGGAGGGCTCCAGTCAGTGGGCAGTATTCTGGAATCCCTAGGGGTGGTCTAGGGAGGCAGGCAGTGGGAGGCAGGGGCCTGGGTTCTGGTTCCAGCTCCAGCCACAGTTTGGCACTCTGGCTACGGCTGGGTCATGTCTCAGCTTAGAGCCTCAGTTTCCACAACAGTCAGGCGTGTGTGGCGCCTCGGCTACCATTCTCTTGAACAAACTACTGCCCTGTGGCTCTGTGCCAGGAGCGCCGCCCACCTCCCCAGCCCCATCATCCTTCCCTGAACTTGCCATGCGTTTTCACTCCCCTGGACTTTTGCATATGCCTGGAAAGCCTTCTCTTGCTTTCTCTGCCTGGCAAGCACCACGGTTTGGCTTTTGTCACCTCCTCCATGAAGCCTGCCCAGATCCCCTCTGGTCAGTCGCCTCTGCAGTGTGTCCCTCCACCCCAGCCCCTTTGGTGTTCTGTGGTCTTCCACACCCGGAGCAGCAACCAGAACTTGCAGCAGTGGGGCAGGGGTAAGGGTGTTCCCAGAGCCCAAGCTCTGGAGTCAGATGGCCTGGATTTCAATCCAGTGCCACCACATGCTTGTGTCACCTCTGGCAAATTGTGTCACCTCAGTTTCCTCATCTCTGAGTTTGGGACTCATGATCACTGAACAGACTTCTCATGATATTTTCAGGACATCAGCGGCAGAGACAGAGAGCCTGCATGGGAGAGGGGTGGGGTGGGGTGGGGTGACCTGAGTTTGCAGAGCCCAACGCTTCCTTTGCCTTCATCAGAGGACGGGAGGTGGGGGCAGATGGAGCTACAATGGGTGCTAGCAGCCCCTCTCCCCTGTTCTGCAGGGAAGGGTCAGGTGGAGGGTAGATGCTCACCGTCAGAGCAGGAGTTCCTTCAGGACTGAATGGATGAGTGGATGACGGAAGACAGCTGGCCCTGCCTGTGGATACACCTGTCTTCCAGAGCTGTCTGCGCACCTGGCCTGGGACCAGCAGAG